AGATGCGGTGATTCTCGTTGCCTACATCAACCACACTGCCGCAAATGCCGTGCAGTCGCCCGCCACATCCTCCCTGGCAGCCGTGACCATGAGGGTCTTGCGGCGTGGTGTCCTGTAGTTGGCACAGTTCACCTTCCGCACAGGGCATGGTACGCCCCTGTGTAGAGCTGTTCGGGTCTGCAGCAGCACGTGTACCCTATTTCTGTGTGTGGAGTCTATGTTTTCTGCCCTGGGTTGTGCGTGTGTGTGTTTCGCGCGTGCGGAGTACCGGCACTATTGGGGGTAACAGCAGTGCCGAACCGGCACTATATCGGGCATGCTTGAATTAGTGCCGGTCTGGCACTATTGAGAGCTCCGCCTGTGTGCAGAGATTTTACCGGCACTATACCGGGCATCTGGCACTATTCAACCGGCACTAAAAGGGTCCCTCGACTGTACCTGCAAATCGCGAGGATTTCACATTTTCCCGCTCAAACACCAAACAAGCCTCGCGTGGGTTTTCACTTTTGTGTCCACCTGTTGCGAACACCCCCCGCCCCCCATATCATCACTGTGCACGACCTCTCTTTGCCTTCCATTTGGTGCTATCCAAACGTAAAAAGGTATGTATGTTTAGGATCTGCTGTACCACCGTGTTGGCGATTATCTTGACCTTTTATGGACGCGAGCATGATCCAGGACGAAACACCATCCAGCCCTACCTAACTCTCATGCTGAACTAGCAGGCCGGCAACAAAGGGGATGGCGATGTGCAGATGCCCGAGAGGTCGCGAGGGAAGGGCAAAGCCCGAGCGGCCAACGATCAACCGGGCAAGTGGGCCCGCACAACACCCCCAAGGCCCGCACAACACCTGCGGTCGACCCGATCTATTAGTGTTGGTTTGTGATTGGGTGTCGTGCGACGAAGGTTTGTGTGGTGCGCTTGACTGCTGTGCCACCAACAGCTCGACAAAATGTTCCTCGAGGAAATGTAGAGTTTTCACCTTCGAGGTTTGAGCAATGATGCTACAATGATTTAGAAATTCTGTATGTAGGGTAGCTAGCATGGTCAAGCCCAAATACCACAATGACTAGAGTTTTTGGAAGGCAAAAGTGGACACAAGATCGCATCGGCTTGCCCACATGGTCTAGTGGTATGATTCGACATTCGGGTTGTCGAGGTCCGGAGTTCGAATCTCCGTGTGGGCCTCGCCGTCTTTTTCGTTCTTGTCAACATACATGGAACTCCCACCCATTTGCAATAGCCGCCAGTGCTTGTGATCGGCCACAGGAAGGGTGCAGCTTCTTCGCCAATATGAATATTTGTCGTATAGGTGTGGGGTGGAAGGGAATACAGTCATCCCCGCTTTAAAGACACCATTTTTTAAAGACACTCCCCGCTTTAAGGACACAAAAAAAACTCAGAAACATGGTGCCCCGCAGATGTGAAAAAGTAAGGGGGAGGTAGGGTTTTCCACCATTCGACCCCCCCCAGAAAATGTGCTGCAGCACTTGTAGATCTTGGATCATCAACAGCGGTCTGCTGCAGCCGCACACTGCGTGTGGGTGTATGGAAAGATTCATTCCATCTGCTACAGAACCGGCCCGCACTTAAGAACCTCTTATTTGGAGCGAGGCTCGCTTCTTGTTGGCTGCCCCAAGCCGAGCACAAGTTCTTATTTGCCAGGTTCTTATTTCGTCGTCCAGTTGTCTCCAGAAACGGTGTTATTGTTCTTATTTCATCATCGATTGCTCAATTGGTGCACTACTCAACTGCACTCGACGCAGAGTTTCATACCCGCAAACACCCCCCCATGGGGCAACTGTCAACTGTCTTGGTCCACAAGAGTGACGTTGGGGGTGCGTACCCTTCCCGCCCTACTAACGCTCTCAAGCAAAACCCATGAGCCTACCGCCGCGTCCGGATCTCCGCTGTACTTGTCTAAGGGCAGCTTCATATTGCGCGTACTGTGGTCTACTTCCAGATGCACACAGTAGTCGTACAGGTGGCGCTGCGGAGATTGCTCAATGATCAACCCACCGAACCACCCCATGCCAAGCCGAACAAGCACTCCACGTTGCAAAAGCAATCTGTCAAGAGCACCGGGGGTAGATTCTTGAAGGCGAAAGCCCGCCGGGATCTCCATTCCCTGCGTCTCGTCCTCCGGGTTGTCTGGGTCCCCATGCTGTCGTCCTCGTCCAAAAGAGCTAGCTCGTCGGTCTGGGATTGAGACATGTCTGCAACGAAGGATACCTACCGTGAAACACGAGAAGGAACGTACGGGTGTCATCGCCGTTACTCAACTGAAGTGAACACACCATTTGTTCGTAGACGTGACGCGGAAACAGAATATCAGCAATATCCCAAACAGCACAAGAAAAGATGAACAAAAAGGACAATGAATTAACTGAAGTCTATGTAGTGCCAATCAAACTTACTGTCGTCGTCTTCATCGCTGTATCCAGCGCCCTCCATGCCCTCCCCGCTCTTGGCACCGTTGCGCTCATCTCCGACGACCGGCTCGCGCCTTCCGGCGCCCTTCTCCTCCCGCCCCTCGGGCCCATCGCTGCTGTCCTCCGAACCTCCTTCGTCCTTGCTGGAGTCTTCATCGTTTGGGAAGGTGTACGGCGGGTCCAAACCCTCCAAGGTGATTCGATTATCGCCTGAGCCGTCCACGGTCATCGCCATCCCGCACTTTTCGAAAAGGTGGTGTCGGTACCCCTGATTGCTGTTGAGTTTTGCCCTGGCCCCTCCCGTCCATTGAGTGATCAGTGCGCGCCGGTCAGAAGCAGTCAGCGACACGGTTTCCCACCTCTCGATGTTGTCCGACTGATCGAGCCACTTGTCCATCTCGCTACCAACTTCCACCTTGACAAATCGTCCGGCTCCTGCATCAACTGGCTGCACCTCGTCCGTGCACTCCGAAGGGCCAAGCCAGGCGATCGTGTTGCACTGCTTCGCAAGATACCCCTTGAACTCGTCCGTGGTCTGCGCGTGCAAGTTGTCCATTATCAGAATGGACCTCGCCTTGGGGAGCTCACCCCGCCCGCGGATCAGGCCTTCGCAGCACGACCTCTTAGCCCACTCCATGCAGAACGTTTGGTCCGCCCACGCATTCTCCTGGAAAAACACGTCCACGTCCTTGTGGTACACGCGGCTTTCTCCACCGGCGAAATCCGCTTCCCCTGGCCTCGGAAAATCACCGAAATCCGCAAAGTCTTCTTACCCGGACCAAAGATTACTTGCATGGTGCACTTCCTTTTCTCTAGACCAGCAAAGGGCTGCGAGATGGCTACACGCAACGCGCCTGTCTTCTCCCACGCGCTGATCAGCCCGTTCACGAATGGCAAAGGCACTTGATCCACATTCTAACCTTCCCAGAGCTGGAATTGACCGTACTTGGGATCTCTGGAGTCTCCCTCCGCGACCGTCGACATCGCCGACACGTCCGATGCCTCGGGTGCCCTGTACCGTACCGGCTCTTGCAGGAGCTTGCGAAACCGCCGGTGGAAGCGCTGGATCTTTGGTAGGCGCTCTTCAACAGACTTGTTCTTGAGGTTGCTCCTGCGCCGTTTGGACAGCTTATGCCTCTTTGCCCATTTTCGTGCCCACCTGAAGGACGCGCTGAACCCCCCCGCCCGTTTTGGTCCTCAGGGTGATTCTCTTGCACGAGCTTCCGGAACGTGACCGTCAGCCACAGGGTCGACACCTTCAGCTTCCTCCTCCGCCGCGCCAAGAACATGTTGTACAGCTTCTTCTCTTCCTCAGGAAACCACCGCTTTGGCTGCTGTTTGGCAAGGAGGGTCTTCTTCACGTCATCTGCTGCCGATTGGACTATATTGGCCTCGTCCTGAGCCCACTTCACGATCAGGCTGAAGTTAACCTTGAGACGGTCCTCTAAGTACTGGAGAGGCGTGAGCTGCTCCTCCTTGAAGAGGTCTGCGGCGTCTTCCTGGAGGAGGCGCAGCTGGGTCACAACATGGGCTTTGAACCTGAATCGTATCGCTTGCGCTTCACAGCTCCACGAGTCTCCTTGACTTTGCGGTCCGTAAAGCCGTCGCTTTCCAAGTCGAGATCGCGGAAGCGCTTCCGTTGGAGGACGAACGAAGCCGCCCCCGTCGCCCCATCGACCTTCACGTGCCAACATCGTCCAGGCCCGGCTTCTTCCCACGGTTGAACATACCCTTTGGGAGTCTTCCCTAGCATTCGCTGCAGTCGCAAGCCGTTGGACATGTTTGCATTGCTGTGCTGTGTTTTCACGTGGATCCCAAGTCCTTGCTCGTTCACGAAGGTCATGGGACAGTGAGGGCACGGTATGCGCCGCTCCGGGGCCGGAGGTGGGAAGGTGATACCGGACACATGCTCTGTGACACCACCGCGAGTCCGCTCAATCTGCACGGCGCGGTAGGAGAAGGGCGGAATTGAGGTGCAGGTGATTCAACGAGCTGTGGACCTGAAATTGCGTGGATGTCGATGGCAAAATATATCTATCTATGCAGATGGGGCGGGGGATGATTACATGACCGTCTCTCGTGTGTTTGGATCACGGTGCAGCAAAAAAAAAAAAAATACGGTTGGGACGGCGCTCGTGTACGCGTTCANACATGCTCTGTGACACCACCGCGAGTCCGCTCAATCTGCACGGCGCGGTAAAGGAAGGGCGGAATTGAGGTTCAGGTGATTCAACGAGCTGTGGGCCTGAAATGNGCAAAAAAAATTACAAAATACGGTTGGGACGGCGCTCGTGTACGCGTTCTTTTTCGCCATTGTGTCTACTGTACCGTCCTTGTCTTCCTCAAGAACTTGAGGCAAACGGAGAATGTTTGAAAAAGTTGTACACATACATGTACGCCATTCTGAAAGTCAGTCGTTTATACCAACCTGTGACAGAGTAGTTTTTCTCTCGTTTTTTTCATTTCATCACCACCGCGTTTTTTTTTAAACAACAGCAGCAGCAGTAGCACTCCTGCTGTATTTACACTACATACAGCTGCTGGACCGCCGTACGACTACTGCTGTATACATGTACATCATCACAGCAACAGAGTTCGTCAAATGACTGAACTCACCGGCTTTCCGCTGCCACGAGCGAACGCGTTGATGATGTTGCCACCTAGAACACCTTGGGCAGCTCGATCCCTGGCTTGCTTCCCCCGATCTGCGACTCTTCCCGGCACCCGCAGCAGTAGCAGGCGGTGGGTGCGAAGACGGTGCACCTCGCGCGCCGCCCGCATCTTGTGGCGTTAAAAACGACGGACGGGTGCTGCTGGTAATACCCTGGGCCTCTCCATCAATCTTCGTGATCCACTCTTCTTCCTTTAAGACACCCGTCTGCTTCAGCCCCCATGCGTTCTCGATTGCGTCCCATCGCTCCTTCGCAACGGAGTTGCCTATTAGATATATTGGGAGTACTCGTAGCATAGTATGACGGTTGAGATGTTATGTACGTACGTACGAAAGTTACAGTGATGAGATGCGGAAGAATAGGAA